TCACCGCACAGGCTCCATAGGAAATGAATGGAGAGCGAGCGACGTCGCCTCCCATGTGTCGAGCCCTTTATGGTCTTAAAAGGTCTTTAAAAGGTCTTAAATTGAACTTACTGAAACATGCATGAACCCTGAGGTACGTCTCTATCAGTTTTGCACACGGAGAGACTGAAATTRTTTCCCATTCTTGCTTGCAAAGCAGCTGCAGCTCAGTGAGGTTGGATGGAGAGCGTTTGCGACTAATCGCASCAAAAGGTGGTGCTACAAAGRATTAATGCAAGGGGGCTGAATAATTTTGAAGGCACAGTGAGGTGTAAAAACCGGGTCTTCTCGGTTRCTGCAAACTGCTGCTSCTCCTGAAGAGAGAAACTCTGAAACAGGCTGGTTGAACAGCAAAAATCTTTATTTTGCAGTCCAGGAGATTTARAGCCAAAAATCAAATCGTGGCCTTCTAAGCCAAATGAATCACCAGGTAAAAAGATGAAGACGAAGGCGAAGAGTAGGGGCGTACAAGCCTTTTTATAGGTTTCACAGTGCAGTCCAACAGATGTACCATYAATTTTGTCACGGTATACCTTAAGCATTCCTTTCCTGATATGGTAACGTGCCGAGTTCTGAAGCTGGGGTCAAAGAAAGATACATCTGTGCATTCCTGAGAAGAGGCCCCCACTTTTAGACACTACAACAGTTTTTCAGTTTTTTATTTGTTAAAAAAGTTTAAAATATCCAATAAATTTTGTTCCACTTCACGATTGCGTCCCACTTGCTGTTGATTCTTCACAAAAAATTAAAATGTTATATCTTTGTGTTCAAGCCTGAAATATGGCAAAAGTTTGAAAAGTGCAAGGGGGCTGAATACTTTCGCAAAGGAACTGTAAATTTCATCCTTACATTCTTGACTGTGCTGCCTGCTGTACTGTCGCTCATAAAGTTTATTTAAAGAGCCTAAATCTTTCCGAAGGTCGACGCTCACGGTAACATCCTCCTGACGAACCTGCCCACCGAGATGGGAGGTCCAGATATGATGGGAGCGCTCAGCGACCCACGCGCCACCATGTTCTCCTACGACAGCGCCAGCATCCAGTACCGTAAGCCCATGACGAGCCGGGACCTATACGGGCGACCGGCCCTGGACCGGCCCATGGGGCACAAGAAGAACCGCTTACGGAGGAGGGCCTCGCAGCTCAAAGTCAAGATCCCGGACCTCACAGACGTCAACGCCATAGACAAGTGGTCCAGGGTCATCTTCCCCATCACCTTCACCTTCTTCAATCTGGTCTACTGGCTTTATTATGTCCACTAGGGCGGCGGTAGTGAGCATGTGTGGCAGAACCGAACCTCCGCATTTTTTATTTATTTACTTTTTGTTAAGAAAAACTTGGTCCTGAACAGACACAAAAACGTGAATGTTCAGTTCATTTGTAAAAATTCTCTTTTGGAACAACTAGTACTAGTCTTTACAGTGTACATACATTTTAAAATATGATAGATATATATATAATATATATGTAATATATAAGACAGAGATATAATTTAATAAAATAAAATCTATTGCTTTTGCTGTACACATACAAATAGAGAAAAATGGTCAGAGTTGAAAAAGGTATAAATTCAGTATTCAGTAAGTCCAGCTTGCCAAATGAGACTAATGTCTAACATTTTAACTAACCTTATACTATTTTTTATGTAATTTCATCATTTCTGTTTGAAAAAAAACACAACTTTTATTTGCTTTAGTTTCAAAAACCAGACTAAAAGAGGTCCAGTGCAAAAACTGAGTCAAAGAAACAGATTAAACTTACTGACAAACAGGACATTTGATTTAATTTCTAACATAGTGAACAAAAGATGGAGAAACTGACCAGAGTCAGCTTCCTTTCTGAAGCCAGCTATGATGGGAAATGAGAGGAAACAACCGAAGTTGTGGATTTCCTTCAGCTGCTGATTGAAGCAGTTTTTTTTAATAATTAGAAATGATCACATTACTGCAGCGTCTTCTTTGAAGCCTCACAAACTAGAGATCTCCAACAGGTTTTATTTCTTTTAAGTGATTTAAATCCCGCTGTATGACATGAAGTTGTGGATAAACAGTCACAATCTTATTTTACATTTAATTCAATTTAAGTTAGGGTTTGATTTATTTATTATTTTTCCATCTTCTCACAGGTATTATATTAGTAAAAAGGGCTTTTCCTGTTGGTAAAAAAAAAAGAAGAAGCAAAAGTTCATGTTATTTTTAGAAGCAGCTGGTTTTATCCCAGAGATGTGAACGTTTGCTGACATTTTAGCCCCGTATTTCAGGAGCCTCGGCGTGTTAAATACCAGCCGAGTTACCGGCTCTGCTTTCTCATTGAGCAGATCAATAGGTGGCTTCAGGAAGGACACGTCCTCTGTCAGCGTCTTGGAGGTTTGATTTATTGTCTTTCTGCTCCTTTATTGTTTCTTGGTTCAAGCTCGGTGCTCCAGCTGGCTTTGTCTTTATGATGATGATGATGATGATGATGATGATGATGATGATGATGATATAAAACCCTTTGATGCTGGAAACATCTCAGACAGTTGGTCATAAAATACTACTTTTTATGTTTAAAACAAAAGCAAAATTCAGCCTTTTATTTTGAAATTCAAAGTCTTTGTTTCAGTTCTGTAACAAGGAGCAACCTGGACTCATGATTTAATTTGTTTGGTTCAACCTAGCAGACAYCAGAAGGTATAGAAGACAAGGATGAAACATTTTTAAGGCTTTTTGCAGCCAGAAACAAATATCCAGTATAAACTCACGTTCAGATTGTGGTCCTGAAGTCACTTTTAAGACACTTAGAGCACTTTCTCAAACTGAAAAAAGGACTGAAAATCTGATTTTTGTAGCTCAATTTGAACTTCTAGTTTTCGTTAAACAAATGCTTTTTGGCCACAGTTGAGTAAATTCATTGTGTGATGTGAAGGGACAGAGTTCTAGACATTTTGGTCAGACCTTGTAAATGACTGTGTGTGATCTCATGCAACGTTGTGACATCTTGAGGATGACTCTCAGCTACTACCACAACAAATTTGAGCTCAGTATCTGTGAAATTAGCCGAGTGTTAGCCACTGCTGTCGGCAACCATCTTGAATTAAGTTGACCCCTAGATTACTTTTAAGTTTCATTAAATTATGTCCACTTGTAGATCATTTTTATACAAAAATGATAAATATATATTATGTTTCGCCTCATCGCTTCATTAAAAAAGTGGCATAACTATAGCAGTTTTTTAAAAAGTTTTAATTATTATCATTCCTTGTATGAAAAGCTTTGAAAACCTGACTCGTCCTTGATGTTTTCAAGGTGTCTTCACGTTTTCTACCCTTTAAAGTAATGAAGCTGAGCTCATGTTTTCCCTGTAGGGCTTTAAAGCAAAATATCAAAATCTAACCCAGACAGGACTCTGCAGTGATGGTGTCAGCTGAATATTGTGCCTTTACAATGAATCTTAAATCTTTTCACAGGGTCTAACTTCTACGCAGCCAGTAGAACCTCAAACATCTTGTATTTTTGTAGAATAAGACGATCAAGGACAGAACCAGACATGAACTCACGGGGGTCTTTACGGAGGCTCGGAAACAACATTATGTATTATAGTGAGACATTCCAGCATTATGACGACAATCTCTCAGTGCTGATCCAAAATGTGGAATATATATATA